ACCCACCTGACAATGTCCTAGATTTAGGGCCTAAGGCTTTTAGGCTTGCTGTAAGGCTACAAAGCTAGGGCTAGCCTGAGGCGAAGGGTTTAATGTTGATCGCTTCCTTCTAGCATTTCGGGTTTCAGCAGTGGCAGGCCCCCAAACCCTCAACCCAAACACCCTAAACCCCGAAACCAACCCTGCTGCTTCGGGAGAGGTGAGCTTGGGGTTCCCTAAACCCCAAACCCTAAACCCTAAACCCTAAATCCTAAACCCTAAACCCTGAACCTTAAACCCTAAACCCTAAACCCTAATGCGCCTCGTCAGACATCCCCGCCCCCGCAGCATCCGTCATCTCCTTTACCTGAAATGGGAGAGCGGGTCCGAGGCTAAAGAGGCTGAGGGCTTGGTTTAGGGTTTAGGGTTTAGGGTTTAGGGTTTAGGGTTTAGGGTTTAGGGTTTAGGGTTTAGGGTTTAGGGTTTAGGGTTTAGGGTTTGATGAGATGGATTAGTTAAGGGTTCCCCAGGCTACAAAGGCTGAAGGCTTTTAGTGAGATTGAGGGGATTTAAGGAGCTAAACAGGCTTAGGGCTTGCAGTAAGGGTTTCGGGGTCTTGGGGTTTAGGGTTTAAGGCGGTCTAAGGTCGAGGACAAAGAATCAGAGCACTGATGGCTTCGGAGTGGGTAGTTCTCTAAATTAGGGTCCGTTCTGGGGATCCTTTTTATAAGGGTGCCGTACTATATTGGGGATCTGAAAAAGAACCCTAGTTTAGAGAACTACCCGAGTCGAAATCCAAGTTCCGGGCGCGAAAAGGGCCCCAACCAGCTGGAGATCATGAGCTGACACGTACAGTAGACTCCTGGTTCATGGACCGTCGAAGAGGGTTTGGGGCTTAGGGTTTAGGGTTCTTCCGAAACCCCAAGCCCTGCGTCGAAAACTGCAAACCCCAATCCTTAACACCCGGGTCAAGAAGGATTTCTGGACTCCGTCTGCTTGTGGCATGCTGACTCATGTAGGGCTTCTCTAGAAGAGTTCTATCTAGGTATTGGCTGTTGAAGAGAATCGCGTATGCGACAATAGAAAAGTTAAGGAGTAATGGTCTCCCGAAGAAGCCTACAGCAGCAATTGAACCCTCATTCCTCAAACGCTGCAACCTTAAACCCTGCTGCCCTAATGACTCCCCAACACCCTCCGCGCTACCTTGAAACTCCAAAGCCAACCTTTATACCCTGAACCCTAAACCCCTAAACCCTAAACCCTGAACCCTAAACCCTAAACCCTAAACCCTATACCCTGAACCCTAAGCCCATCAGCCCCAAACATCGCAAGAGCCCAGGAGCAGCCATTGCACTTCGGGCCACGGAGGACATGGTGGTGAGCTTCCTGGGCTGCAGTTAAGGATCTTAATAACTTCAGTTACCAGATGTATAGTAAATCAAAAGAAACCCTAAACCCTAAACCCTAAACCGATATAATAACTTAATTTAAGTTCCGTAACAGCAACCCAGTTTCATGGAAGTGTTGTGGGCGGAGTCCCTCCAGGATTGAAGGTGACCGTCCACCTGGGCTTTATGGGTCTGCGGTATCCGAAACCCTGAACCCCAAAGGTCTTCAGGGCTTTAGGGCACCCTAAACCCTAAACCCTAAACCCTAAACCCCTAAACCCCTAAACCCCTAAACCCCTAAACCCTAAACCCAGAATTCCGAGACTGGCAGCAGGTTCGGAGGTGAGGGTCCAAAACCCCAAACCGTCGTTTCTGGTGGGGCATATGGGTAGTTTTCTAAATTAGGGTCCCTTGTGGGGTCCTTTTTTATAAGGGTGCCGTACTATATTGGGGACCGAAAAAAGGGACTCTGATTTAGAGAACTACTCATATGCACCTCATAAGGATGGCTTCACATAGGCAAAATAGAGGGGGGCGTAGAAGTTTCTGTGCAGTTCCCTGAAAACGGGTTCCTTTAAAGAGCTTCTGGAAGGGTTCTAGGGTTTGTGGTTTTACTATAAGGGTCCGAACACTTAGAATATAGTTCCGTAAAGGGACCCGAATCGAGGGTTTTCGCAGCAGAGGTTTTGCAGCTGCAGGGCTTCAAGGGTTTAAGGCTTAGGGTTCAGGGTTTAGGGTTCAGGCTTTCGGGTTTAGGGTTAGGGTTTAGGTTTTAGGGTTTAGCGTTCCGAAATCCCTAAACCCTCAACCCTAAACCGTTTCCGAAACCCAGCCACGGTGAAGTTGCCCCAAAGGCTGGTGAGGTATTGATCGGCGGCGCACTCCTTTGCTGCTCTTCGGCTGAAGATCTAACATGGATTCAACTATCTGGGTGGTTGCCAAAATTATGGTCCCTGTTCGGGTCCTTATTATAATACGGCACCTATTATTTAGGGTACCCCAAAAAGGGACCCTAATTTTGACAACCAGCCATCTATAAGGCAATAGCCCCTTAATAATAAGGGTACCCTTTTTCCTACTGTTTGGTTTGAATAAGGGAACCCA